CTGTTCCAAGCACTAACGGATGCTACGGGAAACAGTCAGAAAAGTGGCGCTGAAGGCGAAGATGTTCAAATCTGCCTTAATTATTGGAGCGTGAGCTTCCAAATCCCTCGAGAAGCACAGAAAGTGTTGGCCTCGAAATTCACGGTGTGCTCAGAGAAGCCAGGAAGCCAGGGAGTTTTGGGGACATCTTGACTGCAGTCTGCCTGCCTGGCTCCACCGGACTTGGAATCAATCCGATTCATTGCAGCAGCTCTGAATTCAGAGCAGAGGGAGCAGACAAGGCTCATTGCCTATACCAGCCAGAAAGACTGCAACAACAGTTGCGGTTTTCATTTTTCCTTTAAAATAAGGTTACTTGAGTGGACAGCCGGGAATAGACCCTCTGCCTCCTCATCCCTGAACTGAGCCCCACTGATAATTATGCACAAACTGTCAGGGCCGCTTTGGAAAAACAGTGCTAGAACTAAAGCAGCCTGACATGGCTTTGTGCAAGGCTTTGCCTGGAGAATTGGAGTCTTCAGCGACCACCGAAGTCCAGAAGGGAGAGCTGGGACCATTCATACCCTGCACAGTGCAGTAAGAACTTTTTCTCTTCAGCCACTCAAGTTCCTGATGGTTGGGAAGCCTGGCCAAGAGGTAGGCAATGGATTCATGTTACTGCTGAGGAAAAGCATATTCCCGTGCAAAGCAAATCTCCGGATACATTCGTGCATCTCTTTGCACTGTGGAATGTGCAATGCTCACATCCCTCCTTGCTTCATGTTCTGCTCCAGTATTTATCCTCCCAGCAAGCCATCACTGCCTCATCCTCCAGGACTGTGCTTCAACTTAGATATCAGCAATTTCCCCTGACACAGCCAATCAGTGAAATTACCTGATTTAAGGCCAGTGGAGTTAAAAATCTTACACTCTGGGAAACTCAAAAGCTTTGTTGCTTTTGCACCTCTCCAGGCTGCAGATGGACCCAGTATCTCCTTCTGCTTTGCACCAGGCTGGAGGAGTGACCACTGGCAATGGCACTGCCTTCCAAGCAAGACCCTGAGCCTCCTCCACCAGCATCCAGCTTCAGCCACCTCCTCCTGCCCTGCACTGCTGGGCTCTGTTTGTCCAAAGTAAATGCAGGCAGATTTCCCTGTTGACATTGGGGATTTTCTTGCTCAGGTGGATCATAATTTTTATTTTATTTATTTTTCTGCTAAATCTGTGCATAGGTCTGTCCTATGCAGATAAACCCTCGAGGCAGTCATGTCACAGATAAATTCCTACCTTGCTTCCCAACCATGGGACAAGGTTTCTTGGATGTTCGTCTCTGCGTTCCTGTGAAGCCCGGTGAGAGGGTTGGATGTTCTCCCGCAGTGACAATGTTGCAATTTCTTTTTAAAAGCCTGTAATCATCTCAATTCTGCGAGCTACTCAAGCATTTACGTTGTTTCTCAGCATCTTGAGTGCCGGCTGGAAGCAGCTCCAGGTTTTGGGTGAGTCCAGCAGGATCACTGTGGGGGGCTGTGCTGACAGGCATCCCCACACTGAGCAGCAGAGGAGGGCTGTGCTCCCGCTCACAGGTGAGTGGGTTCCTGGGCATCGGGAAACAAAAAAAGGGGGGGGGGAAACCCAACAAATCAATTCTGTTCACATGAGATTTTAGCTGAACTTCCACTAATAAACACAGAAGGATAAAGAAATGCTGTGGAAACAAAAGCCATGTTGTGACACAGCCACGGCTGAGGTTCATTCATTTTTTAAAGATTGTTTTTCCTTTTCTCCTCCTGGTTAAAAATGAGATTTGCAGAGAAGAGAAAACAGCAGCAGCATACAAACATCTATCAAAAAACCCACCCAAAGTGGAGGAGCCTCCTTTCCCTGCGGGTGCAGCCATCTCACACCAAACACAGTGCAAACACAGAGACCTCCATGCTCTATCCCCTATAATGGCAACATGTATCTGCAGCATCTGGTATTTTGATTCCCGTTTCCCCCTTGCAGATATGCCAAGCCTCTGGCAGTGTTTTCTCCCCCTAACCTATGTTGTTAGGCTGGCACAGGTTATGGAAAAACAGCTCTACTCTCTCTCATGACCACTTATCAGGAGAGAGGGGATCCCATAACCATCCAGCTCACTTGCAGGTATGTGAAGGATCGCCTGCTTTCCATTAGCCACCCTACAGCAGTCCCAAGGTCAGAATCCAGCCCTTCACATGAGTCAGCCTTTGCCCTGAGGAGCTGCAGTTGGAGGAGACCAGAAGGCAGGAGAGCACTGATTCCCTAAGTCTGTGCCATCTCGTCTCCATGCTGTCATGCCATCTGCGGGCTTTATCCCAGGAACTCCTGTCACATTCACTCCCATTAGCATTTTTCAATGCTCTCCTGCCCTTTCCCAGCATCTGCTGACCAAGTCCCTCTGGTCACCCCTGCTCCTCGTCCTTCATCAAGGCTTTTAATTTTCATGATGCCGTTACCCACTTTTGCTGCACTCTGCCTTGTAGCGTCTCAACACACGCTGCAAACCAGGCAGCCCAGCTCACTAGGAAAGAGAGCTTCCAAGTGGGGATTGAGCTACTATTAATTTATCCTATATTTGTTTTGAAGAGATGCCTGGGGAAGGTACACCATTTCCCTTTCCAGTTAGAGGCTTAAGAGCCACAGGCTTTCTTCTTTCTCAGAAATGTAAATCCATGTTTATTTTTCATGTACCCGATTAATCCCCAAGGCATTGCATCCAACAGGCCAAAATCAGAGCTCTGCCTCCACCAAAACACTTCAGGAAAAAGAGGAGAGGGAAACATGTTCTACCTTTACTAGAAGAAATATCTATTTATTTGGGACTGAGGCAGCTGCATGGAGTATAAATGATTTTAATTGGTAAGCCCAACAGGATTCATTCCCTCTTAAAGCAGAAAGGAAGGACCTGGAACAGCCATTTCCAGAGTGATCACTGAGGAGCAGCCAGATTCAGTTCCTAAGAGGCTCTTCACAGGGTTTGATTGTTTGGGACGATCTCACATATACAAAATACTGATCTACCTGCAGCATCAGCCATAATCTGTTCCCAGTTAAAACTGGTGCAACTCTGCTGAAGTCAATTTATGAGGCAAACATTTAATTTAGCAAGCAGGCTCACAATCCTAAATTTAAACATATGTCAAGCCAGCTAGTGGCTTTGTTTTAATTAACTCTCAAACTTTGTGGCTGTCATTTCTTTATATAAATGAGGATGTTCTGCCAAGGGCAGCCTCTAAGCCTGTGTGCATCCCTACGAAACCGCCTGCTATTTCACAACCACTTTTCAAAGAGCTCTTGCAGAGGCAAGGGGATGTGGATGTTATTATAAGGGTCCATATGGCAGTACACTGACACTGCAGTATTAAATCAGAGGTATTGTAGCTTTCCAGCCTGGATTCTCACAGTATCAGGTAACGTATATGTAGCTTTATTGTTGTACAATTTTAGTGGCTATGCATTATTCAAGAGCAGCCAAAGTCTCTGCACTGCCGGAGGTGATTCAGTGATGATAAAGGGAATATGCTTTGCTCTAAGGGCAGGAGCAAAGGGATTTCATGGATTGGTATCTTCTCCACCCACAGAGAAACAATGGATGCATTAACATTTCTAGTAAAGAAATCAGCTGGCCACAAATTCTCATCGATAATTAAAACGAAAGTACAAGCTGCCTTAACATGTAGTTAGACTTAGGAACTGTAACCTGCTCTCTAAATTAAATGCTTTCCTTTATAATTTGGCTCTCTCAGCAGGCACTGAAATCTGCTGGAAGATGCCATCTAGCGGGTTAAGGAAGTTTATTTAAGTTTAAAATCCACTTGCTGGTGTGGGGTGAGGGTGGCAAGAGCTGCAAATGCTGGGGTGCGTAATGGTTTACGTAGACTTTTTGTTGTTGCTCTAGGATATAAGATACTTCCCTGCGGGGGTTTGCATTGGAAGAGAACTAATATTTATTTTACCAGTGCCCAGTAGGGCACCGGATTGTCACAGCTTTGCTATTGACACTGCCGAGCCGCGGCTGTTCTGCTGGCAGAGCATCTTCCTGAGCACCGGGGCTGCTGCTCTTCATTAAGGAACGAATCCACACTCCGTTTTCAGGAAAGCTGTGCTGCCATTGCCAGGAAAAAAAAAACCAACCAAAAAGCAACAAACCCCCAGAAAACCAAAAACACCCCCCAGTAAAACACTATCCTGTGCCTATAAATTATCTAGTTTATGGTATAGGAGAAAAGACTTTATATCTGAATTAAGAGCATCCCTTTTTAATGGGATGGGGATTGATTTGGAGCGATCCCGCCTGTCGGTATTGCCAGGGATGGGCCAACGGCATCTCCATCCTTGGAGTTCTGGGGGCAACAGCCTTGTCCCCCAGTTGCTGTGTGACCGTGGGGCGAGCTGCAGCCCTTTGGGGAGCACCTGGACCCCCTTGGGGGGCACTCATAGCCCTTGGGGGAGCCCCCGTACCTCTCTGGGGGCACTCACAGCCCTTTAGGAAACACAGGCACCCCTCTGGGGAGCGTCCTTCGGGCTTCTCTACTCTCCCGCAAGCCCCGGGGCCCCGTTTAACCCCTTTTTAAGGGCTTTTAAGCCAATTTCCCACCGCGACTCCCCCACCGACGGCGGCTTCGGATCGCACTCCAGCGGCGCCCACCCAGGCACCCGCCGAGCCGCGGCCCCCTCGGAGCGACTTCCTCAGGGAGCCATTAAGGGACAGTCATTAGCGGGGGGTCATTAGCGGGGGGTCATTAGTGGAGGTCATTAGCAGGTCATTAGCGGGGGACGAGGGCGGGGCCTGCCTGGCGGTGGGCGGGGCCTGCAGGGGGCGGTGCCCACGAGGCCCCCGCCCCCGCGCGCGGAGCGGAAGTGCCGGAGTTGCCGCCCGGCGCCGCCGCGAGCGCGGGCGAAAGTTGCGCTCCGGGAAGCGCGGCGGGGGCGGGCACCGCTCCCTCCTCCCCAGCCCCAGCCCGTCCCGCTCCTCGCCCCCGCTCCCGGCGGCCGCCCCGATGCGGCGGAAGCAGAAGCGGCTGCCTGCAGGCGGTGGGGCTGGCTCTGGCCGCCCTGGTGTTCTTGCCCAACGTGGGGCTGTGGTCCCTGTACCGCGAGCGGCAGCTGGAGGGCGGCGCGGCCGGCGGGGACGGGGCGGCCGCCGCGGGGCAGCGGCGGGCGAGGCGCCGGTGAGTGGCGGGCGATGGGGCGGTTGGAGCGGCCCCGGCTGTCGGGGGGAGCCGCTGGGTCGGGGTGCCGGGGGGGCTCCATCGCTCGGGGGGTGCGCGGGGCTGGGCGCGTCCCTCCGTGTCATCTCTGCAGGGATGGGGGGTGAGGAGCGACGGCAGCCCCCAAAGAGGAGGGGGCGAGGGAGGGGAGCGGTGGTGGGTTGCTGTGTTCCCAAGGAAGGAGCTGTTTTGTGTATCCTGAGCTGTTTTCTCTATCCTGTGCTTGGGTTAGACGGGGAGCGCAAGTACTTTCTTGCGGGGACGGGAGGCTCTGCTTGCCTTTTTTTTTTTTTTTTTTTTTTTTTTTTTGGCTGAGCTCGGTAAGGGAGCTCGGTAACGCAAGGTCTTTGCTTCTCGCGCCAAGGAGTAAGAAAGGGGAGCTTCTCCCATCCTTGCATAGGAAAGGACAGCAATTCCACCTTCCAAGGGTGTGCCTGGCTGCCACGTCTCTTCACCTGCCTTGGAAAGGTGTGGGGAGCAAACATCACCTGTTACCTGTTACAGCAGAGCTTAGGGCGGGGGCTGGCAGAAAGTACCTGGTGGAGCTTGAAGATTATGTCCGTAGAGTGATTCTCCTTTGGGAAAAGAGAAGCGGATAACTCTTCCTTAGAGGCAGAGGATGCCTGCTGTGTACGTGGCCTGAGGATGTTGTAACATACGACTGCATTCTTTTCTTGTCCCACTGGTGTAGTAGTAAATTTCACAGCCAAACCCTTCTGCACAGTGTGTGAGTCAGGGAGGCTGGATCACCCAAATTAGACGTTTGGAAGCTCCATTTAGCTGCAGTTACTTTTGGCTCTGTAATTGCTTTGTCCCCTTCTGGGTTTGGCTTTGTATCATTAAGAATGATTGGGACTTAAAAGCTTGAATTGTCAGTGGGTAACTATCAGTTCAGCTGTCACTCTCCAAGGCTTTGCTTGTTCAAAACCACTTAAAACTCTTAGTTGTCTAAATCTTTCCCTCCTTGGAGACTTGCTGCTATAACTGCACCGTAAAGGTGGAGAAACCTGCTGTGACAATTTCTGCTATGGGGGAGAGAATGCTCTCTAAGAGCTATAGTCAAAATGGGACTGAGCTCTTTTTTCCCCACGAGGAATGCTTTTTCAAATTCAAGCATTTAGTGCAAGTCTGGATGTAACCATGCTTATAGCTTTATAATGTCCCATGCTGGTGGGGAAAGGGTTCAGCTGTTGCCTGCCATAAAACATAAACCTGTAGCGAATCCTGCACAGAAGTCCCTTTGACATACACAGTGGTCATTTAATGCCTGGTGTTCCTGATGTTACTGCTTTATGCTTGTATTTCCATGGGATGCAGGGAATCTATTTTGCCTGACTGGTAAAAATCAAGCCCTGTGGTCCTGCTCCCATGGCTTCATGTGGCGTGATGTTCTGGCAAAATGAAAGACCTTTGTAAAATCATGTGTCCTCCAGAGGTAATGAGGAGCAAGTTGGTAATTATTCTTAGGAGGCTTCAAAGTGACAAGCTGACTTTTAGTATTTTTGGTCTTCCAAAATTGTCCTTGTGCTGTGGGCTATGGGTAGCTGTAAGCCAGGCAGTACCACCCTGCTGACTCCCGTGTCTGTGCAGTGTTCTCAGTATTTAGACATCCTGTGCTGCCCATGTTGTACACAATGTCGACTCCATTTTTCTATGTCTCTTTAAAGTGTGGCAGCTGTCAGTGAATTGAGATCTGCTTTTGTTTCGATGGTGTGTTGAGCTGGGCGGGAAATGTCCGTACAGCAGGAAAATTTGCAATAAAACCTCTCTGCACTTGTGTAAATCAGAGTTACTGGGTTTTAGGCTGAAAGCTTCATCTTCCAGTCTAATTAACGTGGAGTTATGAGCTCCAGGGGGTCTGCAAGTGAAGATATACTTGTTTCGTGTGCCTGTTTTTCTGAAGGATTTGGCCCTGAAATGATATCTCTAGTTACATTGAGCAAGGGAAAACATACCCTAAAGGACAATGGGCTGTCTTGGTAAAAATAATTTCAAATGAAGCAGAATAAAAACAAACTAAATGTGATTTTGTTTTTTTGTTTAGTTGTGTGGGTTTGTTTTACTGTTGTCATAGAGGTATCTGCCAGCTGACTGCAGAGAGTTTTTTGGGCATCCTCACATTCAATGATTCCAGCCTCTCTTTTTTGGTCCTGACAAGCATTCATGGGTTTTGCACTTACTAATCAACTTCCAGCTTGTAAATGAATATGCTGTTTGTTTGCCTGTTCCTGTAGCCATTCAGAAGAACTGACTTCTTAATAAAAAAAACTCCAGATGAGAGGAGGCAATAATAATAAAAAATTATATTCATAGCAGTCAGAAAAGATTTTCTTCTGTTTCTGGCTTTAATTTGCCTTTTTGTGAAGCCTAATCTTTGAATTGAGGACATTTCCTATGTACTGCAGAACTGAGCTTCTCAATGAAATCTCTGTCCAGGCTCATTCTTTCTCTTTAAATGGTGTCTGCTGTTTCAGTCAGTGGTTTTATCTTTCAGAGTAACAGCAAAGGGGGGAAAAGGTTTTAAGAAACAGCTGATTTAAAGCTATAAAGCAATTCCTAGAATAGTGAGTTGTGATGCTAAAATTCTGAAGTTTGAAACCAGCTAGGAGTTTTTGTTGTCTCTCTGTGCTGCATGCTACCTTCAGAATAGTAATATATCACTATAGATGATTTTGCTTTATTTAATATTTCTAGTGCCTGTGACAAACGTGTCAAAAAATTAAGCAATCAGAAACCATGTAAATATATTCTAGGGAAGATTATTCTAAATGGTTTCTGTGGAAGTGCCTAGGCAGCTAATTGCTTCTGTATTTACATGTTCAGGGGAAACATTATGGTGGTTGAAAATAGTGTATTGCTTTAATAAGGAGAGTGAGGTCTGTGCTCTTTCCTTCTACCTTTGGGTTTGTTCTTTTGCAGCTCTGTGGGGCCCTTTTTGCTCTACAGAGAAGGGATGGCCTTAAGGCACAAAGGTCTTGGTCGTCCTGCAGATCTCTTTAGAAAAGCTGATGCATTGAGTGAATCCTCAGTACAGCTGTGGGCTCAGAAGTGGCCTCTGTCGCTATGTACAGTCACTGAGCAAATGAGATGATCTGGAAAGTCCTTTTTTCATGGTGCTTGTAACAGGTTTGGCTTTAGATGTGAATGGTGGTAACACGGTACTGAAGTGTTTTGCTGACAGCTTAGAAGCTCCTTAGACTTCATGACTGCACTGTTTGCTCACCACTATGAGTGTATCAGTGTGCTCATGGAATGCAGATTGACTTTTTTGTCGTTTCATCTTTTTCTTTTTTTAACAAGTATTCAATAAGTAAAAACATATGATCTGTAGGTGTGGGGGTAGGAAGAAGCAGCAAAAGAGATGCAGCTATTCCTTTTGTCTCTTGGATCTCTGCTGTCTGCCTCAGAGACTGCTGAGCATCCTCGGCCAAAATGTTTAATTGATGTGTGTGTGTAGTGTTGCAGTATGGAAACAACAGACGAGTTGGGTTGTGGGATGGTGGTTGATGTTTGGGCTAATGCAAGTATCTACATGACTTCTGATGCTGTGCAGAGATACTGCTCTGCACCTCTGTGGTCAGGCTGGAGATCCTCACTCTGTGTGATACCTGCTTTTCTGGGAATGTGGCATTTGAACTCAGAGAGATACTAAGCTTGAACATTTTTCTTTGAATTGCTGGCTGAAAGTGCTGTAGCAAATTAGCTGCCTTTCGTGGCAGAGCGTTTTTATCTGATATGATGAATGCTTTATGGAGTCGCCCTGTAGCTTGTTGTAGCAGTAATTTGTGCTCTATAAATTAACTCAGGAGCATGATGGAAGTGTATAAATCACATCGGTGATTGTGTGGTGCCCTCTGCTGCCAGCAGGCTGGAGTGAAGTGGGGTGCTCCTGCCTGCTGCTTCCTTGGGAATGAGAAACCAACTGCAAACCTGTGATTGAAAAAGGGTTTGTGAGAATGCTGCTTTTGGAGTTTGGGGTCATAAACTTTGGTTTTAGTGCAATTGAGCTTAAAGTTTCCAGCCACTATTGATGAAAATGTAGTCCTAGTGATGAGCTGAGTGGGGAGTGATGCTGCTGCTTGTGGCCTCCTCAGCAGAGGAAGATGATGGGCTTTGCTGTTCTGACCCTGGGGGCAGCTGTGAAGTTGTCAAGGTTTGTCAGCTGTTATGTTGTTGTTGGCAAAAGCTGATAAGGAAGAGGATGTCTGTTAAACAACAGATTCTGTGCTGCCAAGGCTGTGGAGGGAGGAGAAGGGAAAAGTGAGAGGAAAACCTTTCTGTTCTCTGCCAGCCAGAGGTAAATAGAACAACCAGCTCCCTGTACGTCATAGGCAGATTCCTTTGTCAATTAGACTGGTCATGTCCTAGACCTTCCTGCTGCTCCTGTCTGGGGCCTGGCTCCTCACAGACCTCTTGGAGATTGCCACGTTGGCAGTTGTGTTTGCCAGTCACTCATGAGCTCGTGTAAAGGAAAACTTTGAAAAGCTTCTTTTCTAAGTATGGTGGAAAACAATTGGCATCTAAGGACTGAAGTGCAAGTGCTAGAGCTGAACAAGCCTGTTTTAATTTAAGAGTGACTGATTCCCAGCATGGGCTAGTCTTCAGTTGATCACTTCAGTGCACTCGTGAAACAAGCAGGGTGTCCTGAGCTAGAGAAGTATGGCCTGTACTCTTGATTGGCCAAGTGAGCTGAAGTGAATGTGAAGTGTCTAAACCATCTCACAGCTGCAAAGTGCAAAGTAAAATTTGGAAAAAGTGTTTATTAGGAAACGAGCTTTCAGTGGCCTTCACTCAAGGTCTCAGTGTGGTAATCTTCTGTAATGGCAGCACAGGCCTGAATGAACAAATGGGCTCTATTGTATGTCTCCTATGCTGTGTGAAAATAAAAGGTTTATTATACTTGGTATTCCTTATTATGGAGCAGGTCCTGTTTTTGGAAGAGTGGTTCTGTTTCACCATTC